AACTGATCATCTTGCTGTGGTTACAATTTACAAAAAAAAAAAAAAAAAAACTAATAAGAATCAAGGATAAATTTATTAGCATCAGATTATATTTCTTCTAAAGATTTCAGATATTCTGTTTGTATATTAAAATATATTATTGTATAGCCTATTATCATGACGGCCGCATCAGCTAAGTATAATATTAAAGTGTTCTGCCGCTTCCGACCTGTAATTCAGACAGAGACCAGCTCATGCAACAAGGACATGGCTACATTTCCAAAGGACAACACTGTCATCATCGAGGTAATAATTATGGTTTTCCATTTTAAAGAAGAATAAATTATACAGAGTGTTTATATGGTTAAAGTCAAAATCTCAGTAAACGTGTACGAAACCGAGAATTCTTGAAAGGGAAAATTTGTCATTTGTTGTGCTTGATAAAATGCCTGAAGTGCAATATAGGCTATGTAGCCTAGGTAGTATTGCCACCGGGAAAAAAAACGAATAGTCACTTTTTATAACATTTTACAATATTTAGAAAAGGTGTTTTTTTTTTTAGTGTACAACAAATGTAACTGCTTACAAAGTTTTAGAATTTTATTTAGAATGTGTATAGACCTCCTTATTAACAAAGGATATGTAATAGGTCTACTTAAAAAAAAATATATCAGTTTTAGTTTTCAGTTTTCAGGTTTTCGTGTGTTTCCCGAATTTTCAGTTTCGGTTTAAGTAGAGATGCCGTAGAGCCCTGCCCATTTTCTGACGCTGGTTCATGTGGCTCTACGGGCTCTACAGTACCTGCATCCCTATCACAACAGCATCCTTCAGCATCCTCCGTGCCGCAGAGCCCTGCCCATTTTCAGGGTCATGTGTTGGCATATCAGTGGCGTAGACACGCCTTACAGCAACAGCATCCTTCACAATCACATCGCTGCCGTCGCTTCACAACATCAGTAAAGAGCAGTTATTCGATTTTCAATAAAAACTTAATAAGAATCAAGGACAATACATTTAGTAAATGTAATAAATTTAAATATAGCAAGGTATATTAAGAATTCAAACAGCAATTTGTTGTGTTCTGTGAAACACTGTGATTCTGCACATGACTGCTAGATGGCAGTATAACAACATGATAAGCAACAAGATAGAGAAGGAGATTGAGAGAGTTCTGATGATTACTGTGACTAGAGTTGTCTGGTGGTCTTTGTTGTAAATAAATCCCGTTGTGTAGAGTTAGCCCTGGCCTCGGTCCTTTTCATCTGCAACACCACACAATTACATTGTTCATCGTCTTTATGTTTAGAATAATATAGCCTGACGGGCGCAGAAGCGCTTAGTGTACTGCCGTTTGTGGTCTTTAATTCAGACAGGCCATGTGCAAGGACTTTTTTGCATACGTTTCAAGAGGACAACACCATCATTATCGAGGTAATAATTACGATTTGACATATTTAAATCAGACTGAAATATGCAGATACTATTGAAATATTATTGATATATTGAAACCGAAACCAAAACCGAATGAACACACTGGGCCGAAACCAGAAACTGTTAACTGGGGTGGCTCGTCATGCTTGTCATGTGACACACAGCAGCCACTATATCGCTGTATAACCTGTTTTAAGGCTTATATGTTTTATTAATTTTTTCCTTTTTATTTGAAATATTCCCAAACGTGTTAACTAGGCTATATCATGAATCTCGATTCTCAAATATGTGTAAGTAAATGCATTTTGCACCTTTATAGTTGATCTACAACGGCGATGGGCAAAGTAGCCTAATGTTAGTGTAATCTTTTAACCCTAGGCATAAAACCCGTCTTTTTACTTAAGTACCAGATATGGGTGTCATGAATGATTCAGTGACAAAGACAGTGACTTACCGCCTCCTACTGGCGGTTTCAGTTTAATTTTAAAAATATAAATTGAGCTATTTAAATCCTTTAATATTTCTATATTCAAAACTTTATTTTTAAAACATTAATCTCATAACATTGTTATTATGAATTTAAATACATTCACCTCTGAGTCTCGTTTAACAGTCTGTAAATATTCCTTAATCTGTGTTCTTCTGTGCCACCTAGTGAAAAGATAAATTGTTGATGCTGATTTCATTTGACTGGTAACTTATTCTTCCTGATTGTATCTTATTATTTTAATTGAATTTATTGTTTAAAATAAGTTATATGTTATATATTTTTTTACACAAAAGATGACATACATTTAATAAAGTTAGAAAAAAAATGGCATTAGAAAGGTAAACTTTAAAGAGTCAAATATTGCCTCATAATGGGAAGGTTAATTTTTCTCATTGATCAGAAAGTGTTCCTAAAATTTTTTTTAAGTAGGAGCACAAGTGCTCCTAAAAGGAAATCTTTAAGTGTAGAGTACCGAATAATGTAACGTTACCTTTTAAAAACTAATGGCAAATTAGTGATTAATTTAATAGCAAATTTATGCAAAGTGTAAACTATTAAATATAATCTACAAATAATGCAATACTGTACCACTAAATAAGAAGTGTTTTGCAGGCTTAGCTAATCAGGCCAATTAGAGACAATTACTAATCATTCTAATTTTTTATGAAATTATTTAAAGGGGTCATATGATGCTATTTTAAAGATCATTATTTTGTGTATTTGGTGTAACAGAATATGTTGACATGCTATCTCTTTGGATTTGAGACTTTAGTCTTTGCAACTTTACAGATCTTTTCTTTATGCACCAAGAGCTTGTAACACTCCAAAGAGAAAGGAAAACTTGAAATCGCATCATATAACCCCTTTAATTTCACTAATCAATCTTTTATTAAACACAAGGGATCATTAATGATGCTTACATTATAACATGTACAAATTCACACACAACGTATCTTTAATTTGGCCAGAATTGCAGGGTGCCTGTCTTGATATCCAAGAAGGTTTAGAGAAAATATTAAATAAGTTTAATGTTATTATAGATTATAAAGTTTTTTTTTTTATTAAATACATCTGATAGGTCATCTGAAATTACCCCCACACCTTTTCAAGCTAGAGTAGGCTATTTATTAAAAAATTAATATAATTTGTCAGTCTGTCAAGCCCTAAACTGTTGCATCTTGCTCTCTTTAACAACCACGTACAAACCGAACCTGGGACTAATTAAACTCAATAAAAACTCCAGAGCCTATCTTAGTGTTTATTCTAGTTTATCTTAAATAAGGATATATATTATATAAGAGATATATTATATATCTTATTATATTAGGAGATAATTAAAGAAATAAATAGAAATAGAAAAATAGTTAAAGAGCTATTTACTGCAAAATAATGCATATAATATTTTATGTTAATAAATTAATGTCCCAACCACAAAACAACATGTTTTACCATGTTCTAGATTAAGCCTGAGAATGATAACTGTCCCACTTCGAGTTTTATGAATCTTTTTCTTAGACAAGTGAATTTACTGAATAGCTACCAGAAAAAAAGGTAATGTTTATTAAATTGATTCAATATGGCCTAAGTAAATAATAAGTGAATAATATGCTAAAACAAGCTGATCTAGTTTTCTCACATTGACAATTAAAAAATAGCATTATATAAATCAAACAAATAAATGTATTATTTTTTTGATAAATTATTGCCCATCTCAAACATTGAGTGCTGTTAGACCGATAAGGCAGACCACCCTTAAAATTGTAACTTTTTGGACATTTTGTGTCCCCTTCTATGATGGATGAAGTCCATGATAGTTACAACCATACCTTATTTCCTGTGCTGTTTACAGTGCCTATCAAACTGAACATGTATGCCCCCTTTTGGAAGTTGGGTTAGAATCTCTCTTTAGATGGCACAATAGGTGTTTTTTTTTTTGGTCAATAATGTATTTACATACAGTGGAGATCAAAATTAGAGAACAATCTATAAATACTTTATTTTTTCTGAAATATTGTTAATCTTCACAGCTCAAAATATGTAGTGATATTAGTTATGCGCTGGTGTGAACTTGGTCCACTCTTCTTCAATTCTCTTCCATAGTTCGGTGACTGTAGTGGGTTTCCATAACTTTGTTGCCAAGGATTTTTCCAGAGATTTTCAGTGGAGCTTAGATCAGGACTCTGGGCAGGCCATTTCATTATTTCAGTGTTCTTAGCTTTAAGGAACTGCTTTACCCATTTTGCAGTGTGACGGGGACATTGTCTTCCATGAAAATTGCAGGCTAATTGGGAGATGCTTGCAGGGAAGGTACCGCATGTTGCTGAAGGAGGTTCTGATAAACATTTGCATTCACCCTGCCATGTAACTGTATAAGAGGCCCTGTCACTGTCATCAGCTGGTGTGCCCTAGATGGCGACCAGAGGTCTCCTGTGTCCTTGTTTGAGCACATGGCTTGTTGTGTGTTTGTTTATGCCATGTGCTCTCCTGTCAATTGTCTTGACCCCACCCTTCTTGTTATCTGGTTATTGGTTCAGTTGCGCCACCTGTGTCTGCCTCGTTACCCTCCTTGTCTGCTCCCCATTTATTCCCCTTGTGTTTTCTGTCCTGTGCTGGTTCGTCGTCGTTCACTGTTTCCCTGGTTACTGGTCAGTCTAGTCAAGTCATATCTTTCTGCTTATTTGCTCTGCTCTGCCTGTTTTGTTTTGTTTACCCTACCACGGGTCTTTTGTTTCAAGCCATGTTTGTGGTTATCTGTTTGTTTTTAGTCCAGTTTTGTGTTACTCCTTATTTTTGTTAATAAAGATCCTTTGTTTAAGCTCCACTGGCTGTTCTGCATTTGGGTTCTGTTTGCAAACCGTGACCGGCCCAACTCCTGCTCCAGAAAACATCCCTCAAACCATGACGCTTCCTCCTCCACCTTTCACGGACTTCTTTACACACTCTGGCTTCAGTCTTTCCTCCGTTTGATGCCAAACAAAATGTTTCCCTTCGGACCCAAATTAAACTTGCTCTCATCACTAAAGTGAACTTTGGACCAATTCTCCTCTCTCCACACAAGATGCTCCTCCGCAAAGGTGAGCCTAGCCTTTTGATTATTTCTGCTGATGAGAGGCTTGGTCACTGCAGCGTGCACTTTCAGTCTGACTTCTCTTAAAGGGGTCATATGATGCGATTTCAAGTTTTCCTTTCTCTTTGGAGTGTTACAAGCTGATTGTGTGTAGATAAGATCCCTGAAGTTGCAAAGAATAAAGTCTCAAAACCAAAGAGATATTATCAAAGTTAAGACTCTGCCACGCCCCCCTAAAACGGCTTGTAAGGAGGGGGCTTTGTAGAAAACGAAGCGTTTGAGAGAGGCGGGGCATAGAGGACCGTACAGTATGTACAGTATTTTAAAAAGAATGTGTTTTTTGAACATTAAAGCATGTCAACATATTCTGTTACACCAAATACACAAAATAATGATCTTTAAAAAAGCATCATATGACCCCTTTAAATGTGGAGAGACTGATCCTTACCCTGTTCAGCGCTGATGGTTGACATTTCAGGAATGGATATTGCACCTAAAGTTTATTCTTGTTCAAAAGAAGTAGTGTAGTCAAGGCAGTGTTTTTCAACCCTGTACCTAGAGAACTCCCAGCACTGCACATGCTGAATGACTTCTTTGTCTGACATGCCAATTTCCAGCCTTGGAATCTCTACTAATGTGCTGATGATCTAAATTAGGTGTTTGATTCGAGAGACATGCAAACTGTGCAGTATTGGGGACTCCTGGTCCACTGCTCTACAACATTTTTCATGTCTTCCTTATTTGACACCTAATTCAGACAATCAGCTCAAGAAATAAAGACATACAAAATGTTCAGAACGGTGGGTCCCCAGGGTAGGAGTTGATAAGCACTTTTCTCCAGGGCAACTAGACCCTCAACTCTGGCCCTTTAACATCTACTTTTTTGCAGGGTATAGCTCCAACCCTAATCAAACACACCTGAACAATGTAAGGCCTCTGCGAATATCGCACAAATGAACGATTGAATCTCCGCATTCCACCGGAAAAACTAAGGACTCTCCTCCCCAGCTATCTACAGTCGTAAAGAAGATCAATGATGCAAGTAAGAGAACTGTAGCGAATATCTTGCTAAAACTTTGGGCTTTCCTCAGAACTCCGTTAACATCATTTTCATTCTTCAGGACTGTATGTATGTGTGTGTGTGTGTATGTGTGTTTTAGCTTAGGTCAATGTAATTTAGAATAGCCAATAAATTTGTGTTTGCATTTATAAAGAATCATTGTCTGGTGTCGTATAATTTTAAAGTCAAACCTTGCCAAGATCACGTTACCTCGCTAGGAGCTTACAAATTATCATAATTGTATTGACCTGTGGCCAAGGAAAATACACATAGTCAGATTGTTAAGATACACGGACATTAACGTCTCGCAGGACGACCGTTGATAAGGTGTAAACCATTAAAATTTGAA